ATGAGAACAAAGCTCTAAACTGCCTAGAGGGAAAACAGCCTACATCCAGGTGCTAACAACAAACAGAGAGCTCTATAGCAAACCCCTCATCTCTGCTTGAGGCTAGACACTCAATGCTATATTAGCATAACACACTCAAATCTTCTATGAGTGAGTGGATGCAGTGCATTGTGGGTAGGTGCCGGGTTTTGTCAGGAAAGAAGAATGTGTTGAATAAAAAACATGATATCTCTCGTTATGCAGCATCAATTTTGATACTTATTTATCATACACAAATTCAGCTACAGGTCCCATGGGGAATGCCAAAAGGGGGCGGGACTTAACCTCTATTGTCATGATTGACAAGCACAGAGCCATCGTTGATGTAAATGTTAACACCAAGTCAAAATGTCTGCTGTGAAAAAGGATGAGTTATGGTGGAAGATGGAACAGTGGACAACATGTACGGGAAACATGATTAGTCACGCTATGAACTAACCAAAGGGATGAATCATTCTCATTCACAGCAATTTGACAGAAGCTCTGGTTCTGTCTGTTGTTTCCCTGTTGTGTCTGAGATTCATGAAGCCTGGGGGTACCTGTGTCTGTGGACGTCTTTGTGTGAATTTGTGTCTACTTGCATTTTTCCATTGACTTTGTATACGACTGACTTTGCATTCTGTCTGAACACAGAGTAAGTTAAATATAGTTAAACATGTGTAACAGAGTTAAAAATGTACTTTATTATTCTGTTGAGTATGTGTGAATTCTATCTTTATGAGCTATTTTTATTTAGCATTTTATTTTGTTAATGCTTCCTGCGGAAGCGGCGTCTCGCCTCTTTTGTACCTCCAAAGCACCCGTAGTCCCGACTTCCCCTCACAGTGGTGTTTCGTACTGTTGAGGTTAAGTTGTGTTGAATAATGTTGTTGCACTGTTTTGTTGTTTTCTTCGGGAATGTAACTGTTTACGCTACGTACTTTAGTAACTGCTAAGGCGATGACCTTATCAAGCTGTTACGTGCCGTTTTGACTGTGGAAAATATAAGTTTCGTGGCTGTTTCAGTTAGCCTTTTTGGCGCCATTTACTTTTACGTCAGGCTGCCCTGTCATATAACGTAACGATGCAGATACTTTGGCATTCCTTTGTGTGAATTCTGTTGTCTTGCATGTTTAGGAGCGGATGTATAAAGAGAGAGTGAGACCAGGAAGAAACTAATGTGGTTTATGTTGTCTTCTGCAGGTATGTATTTTCCTTTGTTTAATGTTATAATTTTCGTGGGTTCTGTTAATCATTCCACCTCATGTAGTTGTTTGTTTTGTCCATTTGATGTCGCTGTTAGTCCCGACTTCCCCAAACAGTGGTGTTTCGTACTGATGAGGGAGCGGATGTATAAAGAGAGAGTGAGACCAGGAAGAAACTAATGTGGTTTATGTTGTCTTCTGCAGCGAATAAATGCTGGAAAACTACCCTCTGAGTTGTCTCCTTCAATGCCATTCCAAGTCTGTTACACATGCACAGAATTAAATGTCAATACCTGTCAAATGAACCCTGTTAGCAAATTGCCATTCTAAGTGAAAGGATTCAGGTAGCGCGTTTGTTTGTTTTTTTCACTTTTAGTATTATCTTAACAGTAAAATACATTTTCAGACAACACTGGTGATTCTACTAAAAAGTTTTGAAGCAGCATAATTTTCTGGTGCCCTTTAAGGAGCTTCAACGTGTGTGATGAGGTGGGACAGACCACTGCACCCCCACAAACCATCACCATCCTCTAAACCCAGGAGATGGTGTTCCTCTGGGCTCATCTCTCAACACGTGGCACAGCTGGGATGCCTGCTCTGTTTTCCACCTCTCTCTTGACCATGGCGTCATCAACCTTAACAATGATACACAGACTCCCTCTTTATCAAAGCTAACGCCCCCCCAACTCCGAAATCATTAAGATAAGGCAAGAATGTGCAGGAGCAGTGTAACTCAAGTAAAATCTCCTTCGACTAATTTCCTCGGACAGTTCCGCGTTTGACTTTCCATCCCTTCAAAATACAGGACACATGGTGTTTAAGCAGCCAATGTCCTCATAATCTTCTCAGTGAGACATCCAGAGAGGCCCATATACCCACAACACTCTCAAAGTACACTTGAAGCAAATATGGGGACTTTAACTGACACTCTAGAGCTCTTACATTTAATTCATTTGGTTAGTGTGAAAATTATTTTTAAAAAATGCAAGGATTTACGGGTACAAACTAAAGAGTGACTTACTTTAACCCAAACCACAATCTTTCCTAAAAGTGACCAAGTGGTTTCCTGTGAACACGGTGTATGCATATAAAGAGTGAACACTCTCGACTCCAGAGGGGAAAGTAGAGTACCAGTGAGAAGCACTGACCCAGCTGCTGGACTAGTGAGAATGTGTTGGCCAAGCATAACAAATGATCCGTGGTGTGATACTCTAATTAAAGAACTGCATTCAAAATATTAATCAAGAAATGTATTCAAGTATCTGAAGTGAAAGTGCTGACTCATATTTACGGTTTTGGGTATTTTCATATCAGCTGAAGAAAGAAGGGAATAATTGGAAAAGGGAAGAAATAAAACAAAAAGGAAGAAATAGGGTAATTAATATGCTATGATAATGCATGAGCTCATCTTGTGTGAATGTAGTCATAATGGTTTTAGTCAAACTTCTGTTTCCAAGGTCAAAAGGAACTTTCATTCTCCGAAATTCCCACAAGTCTTGCCAACGCTGCAGGATGTGAAATATGTCATTGGAACCGTCCTCTCCCTTGTCCATGATATCCACTCATACTCGCTACCAATCAATGTATGTTCGAATGTAATCTGTTTTATGTATTGTCTGCAGTCTAAAGGAGTGTAACGCAAAGCTATCTGTCTGTCACCAACATATCTCTGTTCAGATGAACTTGGCAGCATATTGTGGTGGCAGCTAAATGTATATGTACACATTTAGCTGCCAACAAACTTTTCACTTTTCTGCAGTCTCATGAAACACAGGACACCAGATTCCAGCCAGTGATTCTGTTACAGTTTGGAGAACATACAGCTTCAGCTCCCCAGACAATCTCCTGCTCCTAAACAGCAACACTGTTTAGTGTTATCTCAACAACTTCTTCCTACTCTGAGTAACATGGCAAACAATGTGGACGCTGTCAAGCAGAGCGTAGGGGCTTCCTCGCAGCCGCAACAATGAACAGATTTACCCCCCCTCCCGCCGCCCCAACAACAAAACAGCCGGAGGATTTGCTGCTCTGCCGGTGTGGCTGCGCCTACCGTCGATGAGCTGACAGTGATATCTGAATGAGGCTCATGGAATGCAAGGCAACCTGACGCCAAGATTAGAAAGAAAGAGGGATGAGAATGACAACTCTCGCTGTGGAGATTTCACTAACTCAACAGAGGCGAACACTGTTTAACTTTATACTGCTGAATATGTCATAATGTCATTTATCCCCATTGCATATCTGTATGTGATGAAAATCCCAGAGAAAATAAGAAATGATTTATTTAATCAAATATTTGTATAGTTTCTATAAAAAATGGACAGAGGGCAAATCATTTTAAAAACCATGGGGGCCCGCTCTCGATGGGCCCCTCCACTCCATGGGCCTCCAGTGCAACCGCAATGCCTGCACTGTCTATATTTACAACCAGTAGTCAGCTAATGTTCATTTCAGTCCCAGCGCGCTCACCAACCTAGTTTCCAGCCGGCTGTGATAACACCTCTACACGACCTGCTGGTGAACATAGTGGAGTGTGACAGACAGATCAACAGAGGCAATATACTGTGGCTCAGTAATAGAACGGGTCGTCCTTCAATCAGAGGTTCGGCGGGTCGATCCCCGGCTCCGCTAGTCCATGTCGATGCGTCCTTGGGCAAGACACTTAACCCCAGATTGCTCCCGAATGCTGTGCATTTGGTGTATAAATGGGTATGAAGCTTACTTATACCTGGCAGGTGGCACCTTGCATGGTAGCTCCTGATATCAGTGTATGAATGGGTGAATGCTGACATGTAGTGTGAAAGCGCTTTGAGTGGTCAGAAGACTAGAAAGGCGCTAAACAATCCATTTACTGTATATGCGGAGCGTGTAAATAGCTAATTATTTGCTAACACATTAACCAATAACTTCATATTGCTGATAATATATTTCGTTTTCAGCTTGTTCTGCTGCCTCCAAGTGCCCAAAACAGTTAATGCAACTTTAAATGATGATGAATCACACGAGCAGAATAGTTATTTTGATTCTATTAAAGCAACATATTGTAATATTTTACAGTTATGACGTTATGTAACTTGCTATTAGCTTTACATACAAGGCTTCTTTAATGGAGCAGTAACTCCAGCTTCCCTGGCTGTTTTTGGTCAAGCTCACGTATGGAGTAGTACTGCACCATCAATAAGTTAAAGTTCTCTTCTAATGTTAAATCTTCTGATGGAGGAGGAGGTACACAGGCCTGAGTTCTCTGTGTCTGTGTTGTTGGGGCAACCAGACTAGACACAGTACTAACAGCTCCAAGTTTTCAGTAAAATCCCGTATTTAAATGCAATGAAGTTTTATGATGAGGTGCTAGAGACGATGAAGACTTAGGTATTAAAAGTTCCCACTGAATGTTTACAGCCCTTAAGAAAGAGAAGTGAATTGGCTGGGACTCCAATTAAACTTTCATGAAACAGACTAGACTGTTAGTCTCACTTAACCCACTGCAGATTTTCTTCCCATCAAAGTGTCCCCGCTAAGTCAGTCCTGAAGGTTTTTCACACTTCTTCTCCGTTAAAATGTCAGCACATAGGCCGTCAGAGTGCTGATCATCCCTCTGCTCACTGAGATAAATGCCCTGAACAGAGAGCCATCAGAGGTCAAATAATACACACCCTATGACTTAAATTACTGCTACATTTCATCTCACATGACATAGAGAAATTACAAGCTGGTGGGAGGGTTAGACCACACATGCTGCCATGGAAAGACGGAGAACCAGATAGAAGGTGACCGTACCTTTCCTCCAAGGAGCCAGGATCGTGAATGACTTCTGCCAGCTGATGACCAGTCCAGTCTTCTTCCTCTTCACACTCATCTTCCCGTAACAATCCCTGAGGTTGAGGACAATGCAAATGTGGTCAAGTTGCAGAAAGAAGAACCCCCACCTTAGAGATTCCTCATCATGTTTTTCAAGTTGAAAAGCTGTCTTTTGTTGGGGAATTCAGTGTGGAGGTTGTCCTCGAGCGGGGTCATGATACCTGTGTCTCCTCGCCTGCTGGACGGTCTGAGCGCATGTGTGTGAGTGTGTGTCAGACAGCTCCAGAAAAGTTAAAGGGGGCTGGGCTCCACTCAGAGCGGAGGAAGGGGAGGAGGAGGAGGAGTTGCAGCTGGCTGGAGGGAGAGAGGTGGAGCAGGGAAAAGTGCACTACTATGTTTTGCTACGTTTACACTTTGCGTCCACACTATGCCGGAGTTTTCAAAGCACTGAAAACGGAGGAGTTTGAAAACGCTCCCGAGGACGGATAAGTTTGAAAACGCCGGGGTTGCGTATTCATGTGGACGGTCGAAAACGGATACGTTTGGAAACAACCCACACCCACGTTCGCTTGAGTGGTTCTTAGCAGTCATGACGTGTCCTTCCCTGGTTCGTCATGCCCCTACACCTGACCCTTTCCCGGCAATCATAAACAACAACATTGATTACCGATCGACTACCAGGTTAATTTAACATGGAGAACTGATTACAGGTGTTGTTGACCTTGTTGTCTTTACCAGCAGCTGTTGTTCAGTTAAAGTCTACATTATTACGGAGGAAGCAGCTGTTGTTGGAGCGATTAGTGAGCGGCGTGACCAGCTCTGAAGTCATGGTTAGGGAGGGGGATGGACACAAAATGGAGGACTTTCCTTTTCTTATTAATGCTTATTTTGTTCTGCACAAATCTTGTGAAGTCCGCATAAAATGTAAAAGGAACAAAAACAGTAAATGCTCTCCAGTAGGACAGATTGTTAAGCCACCAGCAGAGCTACGAGTGAGAACAATGAAACCGAGGAAACGAGTGAGAGACGTGTGTTGACCACATTTATGGATCATAATCTAGTAAACCTTTACGTGTAAGTGTTGATTTTAAAGTGAATTTGATGTGTGAGAGAGAATCAAATACGACCTTTTATTATTAAAGACTACTTTATTACTCTGTCGTATTTTTTTTAACAAAGCAACCAATCTACTTCCTGTTTACATCGACACTCACCCGCATGCCCAGTGTACATGAATATTCACGTGATATTTGTTTTCAGGCGTTTAGTCTGGACGGAGATCATTTTGAAAACGATGCTGAACCGCCGTGCGGACGGAGAACATAGTAGGGTGGATGTAGCCTCAGACGAGGACTCAGATTTACAAAACAGGGAGCGACGAGAGCTATAGGAAGCGCAAGAATAGTTCAATGATTTGAAGTCCCCCTTTACACCAATCACAGCTTCAGACTTCAAACAGGTACAGTGAATAACCCGTGTACGATGGAACCACCCTAAAGCTGTATGAAACACATGGTCTTCGTCATTACACAGCAGAATTATACCAACAACAGGATTGACATTTTCATTGTTACTGTTAAATATTTCAAAACAACCCACAAGTTTTTCCACAAAACTTAGGGTTGAATTATTTATTTTGAGACGTCTGATTTGCAAGCCATTTTGTCCTAAACAGTTAACACAGCTGTTTTGACTGGGGAAGTAGTTGTTTGACAACTACAACATCTCTACTAACTTATTAGGAGCTTTCGGCCACATGCAGCGTCTTCTTCATCAGTGGATGGAGATTGTTCTGTTGCAATGGCAGTATACTCCATGGAGTACAAAACAGCTGTTTCCAAGGTCAAGGAGGAACTGAGATGCTTAAGGCAACACACAAATAATGGAAGAAAACAACAATTCAAAACCGTTTAAAAGTTGTGCAACAAAGAGAAAAAGAGCTACATATGACAAAAAGGAAAATAAGAAAAATAACAATATAACATAATAATCAATGAAATAAAAGACCATGCATTTGTATATTAATGGTTTTAAAAGTCAAAATTCCGACAACTTATAGAAATATGTTTTTAAGAAGGATGTCAAAGAGAATTAGGAGCTCGGTGTCAGAAGATCTGAGATGTACTTATCAATAAAGTCCTAAAATCAATTCTAAAATGAACCGGTGTGATTTGCAATCTTTTTTGATTTCGGTGAGAAGTCTGACTGCTGCATTTTGGAGAAGCTGATTTGTATTTGATTTGTTGATTCAGACATTCGTAGAGAGGCAATTAGAACATGTAGAACAGTCTCAGGACTTCTCCTGGATAAAACTGAACTGATCTTGGAAAGTCTCCTGTGTTAAGCTGAGGCTATTGTCAATACACCAAGACACAGCAGTACTTTGAATAACTAAACGCTAACATCAACATGCTAACAATGGCAAAGCTAACGAGCTAATAATAATAATAGTGCTAAATGGTTGTCAACTTTTTTTAGGACGAGAGAGAGGAGGAACACACACCAGCGATGGAGAGGTGCTGACCATGGTGTCGGTACAAGTGTGACGGAAAATAGGATTTAATCATTTACCAACGTTGGTAAGTCAGTAAATCTCTTTTTGCGTTGTGGCTACGAGTGTGCAACTATTGTCCTTCATACTTGTCATCTTAGCTGAACATGTCATCATGCTAACATTTGCTAATTAGCACAAAACACGTACAAGTACAGCTGAAGCTGAGGTCATTAGGTTGTTAGGTGTTTAGTCATAAATCAAAGTGTTGCACAAAGTCACACGTTATCCTGATGAGGAAAATTCAGGTGATCACCCAAATATTAGCATACATTCTCTGGGAACAATGAATGTCTGTAGCAAATTTTACACCTGATCAAACTGCATTCATTTCCCTGTACAGTGGCTGATTAAAATACCTGCTGTGTGTGGACAATATATTATTTTGCTCACTAGAACAACCAATGATATCACTACTATAGGGATTTTCAAGCATTAATAAAAACTTGGTGACAGGGGTCTATAGAAAAAGCCATGAAGTATTTTTCATTTAATTTCAAAGCAGTTTTTAAAAGGACCATCTCCTCTTATAACTTACATAATTTTAAAGTTATGTGCCACAGGTGTACATAATCTGAATTGAGGTTATGCAAAATGATATCAGCAAAAATATCAACTGTATTCTAGGAGTTAATATTGTGGGAAAGCTGAGATCATGCCTTCTGCTAAATCCCTTGCAGAAATAAAATATGGCCTGAGCTTTCAGCAGAGAGCTTTTCTTTCTATCTTCACCAGGTGTCCATGAAGGAACCATTGACCGACAGTATCATTGAAAACATTGAGGGGAGTGAGCAACGCTGTCTTTCATTAACTCTCATAAGCCAGGAAGTATTAGATGATGTGATAACAATTTCACAACAATGTCATTATTACTTCATTTCAAAAAGCAAACATGAAAAAACTGCAACAAACTGTGTGTCTGAACATCTGTCTTCCACCAGTGGGCTGTATTTCTATTAGCAATGTTATTTCAATATCACATTCCTTCCAAATATTAACGCTTTCCTGGATATTCCCTTGCCTGGCATTTTTTTTTCAACATTATCACCTTGTTTCTTCTTCACTAGCTAGAAAAACAAAGCTAAGTCATGGAATTCAGACACACCCACATACGGCTCTCTCCGATCACGATGAAGATAAATGATCTCCCTCCTTCTGTCTCCCTGCCTGATAGCCTTGTAATGTCAGTCTGTCTTCAGCAAAATACAGTACATATGTATAGGTCATGTACATGTGTGGAAAAGACAGGGATAATGGGATGAATGAATATTTGATCTATTGCAGAGTGGGACTAGCTTCGTCTGGACAAAAGTAACATTAGCAAATGAAATGAATGCAACCCACAATAGGCTAATGGCCCATCCAGACACCAATGGGCTGTAAGGCCTCGACAAACACATTTCATTTAAACGAAAAACCAGCAGCGATGCAGGTAATTGGGCTCTGTACAAGACACTTCATACAATCATACCAAAAGCAAAATTAAACTCACCAAGCTGTCTGCCCGCATAGCAGAGTTACAGCAGTACTGGTAGCCCGTTAGCTGTTAGCAAAATGCACCGTCCAACACAACAAAAGTGAGTAAACTGTTCTCCCACGCTGTGTGTCTCTTATCGCAGAGTAGTGTCTGGGGGTCAGCGATGCACTTAGCTGTGGTACAACTAACGACTCCTACTGGCGGGGGCAGTAGGAGCCGTCATGAGTAAGGAGCCATCAGGCAGTCAGTGGCAGTATAAAAAAGACAATAAAAGTAATAAATAGCTGGAGTCAGTTGCTCCCACCTTAAATTCATTCGGGAAAGGTGGAAAGATGATTCCGGTGTTTGAGGAATAACCCTCTTTATCATTTTTAGAAACACAGTTTTTCTTTTAAGTGTGATCTGCACTGCTTGATCTCAAAGACATGAAGCAGTTTCTGTGTGAATGCATGAACACAATGGTGGTGGAATTGGCTGTGATGCAGGGGGCACCAGATTGGTCAGGGCCATGGCTGTGGTCAAAGAATCTAAAAATGACCTAACGTCTGTTCCTAACCAATTTTCCTTGACCTCGATGGAAAACATCTGAGGTCCAGGAAGATGTGAAGGAGAATTCATGAGGAGTCAGGAAAAGAGAACCGTGGTGCTCAGAGAATCCGACTCCACTTTCACTAAGCTACCTAATTATGATGAAACAGTAGATGTCCCCGATTTAGGTCTGCCATGGCGAAACCACAACGAAGAAGGAATACTAAAAGCAAAAATATGATGAAATCTATTCCTCTGTTACATGCAGGCTTTCTAAAGAGCTCCTTCTGTGATATAGGCTGATTCACTCGTGGTGTGTGAAGGAGAGGAACTGGATGTCCTTCCTTCCTGCTGCTGTCACACTGAATCAACACTGCTTCAGTAGGAACAATTCACTCGTGTGCAATATCAATGAAACCGTTCAATATCAATATTTCTTTTGTGCAATAATGTAGATTCAACTGTTTACTTTTTAACTTGACCAAGTTCCTAAATGGTCATTTTACTCAGTTCAAAAATAACTTTTCGATCGCAGCCCAGCTCTGACAGTAGGTCAAAGATGAAACAGGAAGTGGGTGTAAACTGCGATGGATGTTTACAACAGACACTTTGGACAATCATTTTAATTTAATTGTTTTACTGCCTTTTTTTTAGCACCATCATTGCTTTCTCAGATTACATTA